TCACCTCAGCCTCTTGAGTAGCTGGGACTATAGGTGTGCGCTACCATGCTTGGCTAAGTTTTAAATTTTCTGTAGAGACAGGGTCTTGCGATGTTGCCCAGGCTGGTCTTGAACCCCCAGCATCAAGTAATCCTTCCACCTCTCAGTCCCCCAAAGTGATAGGATTAAAGGCATGAGCCACTATGCCTGGCCTTAATTTTAAAGTAACAGAATGTATCAGTCTTTTTCTTCACCAAAAGATTGGTGCTTTCTCTTTTTAAAAGAAATCCTCCTTATGTCAAGATCTTTAGGAAGTTTTTTTTTTAGAGACAGGGTCCTGCTGTGTCACCCAAGCTGGAGTGCAGTGGCTCTCAATCATAGCTCACTGTAGCCTTGAACTCCTGGGCTCAAATCATCCTCCTGCCTCAGCCTCCCAAGTAGCTAGGATTACAGATGTGAGCCATCTTGCCCAGCTGGGATATTTTCTTTATTATCCTAAAGGTTTGTTGTGTTTTTCACATTTAGATCTGTCATAGAGTGGCCATATGTCTAAGTTTATGCTTCATGTCCTAGTATCTCATCTAGCCAACATCCCCTTTTACTCTCAAGAGTGTCTGTACAAATTCTTAAGCTTTTCCTCTTGGAAAATAGTTAGTAACACTTCTTTGCTAATTCTAATTCTGGCCATAATAGATTACTGACTTTTGAAGAGGCGCAAAGTCTGATGGAATGTTGTGGAAGTTCATACCTGCTGGCTGCGTGCCTTCGATCCTCAGAGCCCTGTCTGCCCGAGATTGCTGTATGAGGTTCAGCAGAGCAGAGACCAGGAGGGCTTCGGCCGTCCCTGCAGAGGGCAGATCCTGCCTCTGGCTGCAGTCAGCAGGCCTCTCTGTGCTGGAAAGTGAGCTGACAGGGTTGGGACGGGAAACATCACCCTGGAGTAGGTTAATAACATGAAATAAAGCTCATTTGTGTAAATTATTGTGAAACACAATGAAAAGACATTTTGGGCACAACGATTGGTTTGTTTGACTAATTATATTTCTGGAGTCAAAATATACAGGTATGTTCCTTTTACATACAGGTATAATGCAGACTGTAGTTTGGTTTTGAACATACTGTGCGACTTTACCATCCTTAGAAGCTCCTCAAACTATCAACCAGTAGCAGTCACATGGCATCATACAGAGCAAAGCAGAAAGCAAGCTTCCAGCCCACTAGTACATACAGGACCACATGGATCTGACTGGCACACAAACATTAGGGACCTCAATTAAAGGTATGAGTGCAAGTTTTATTTTGCTTCCTGGAGAGCAGTTTCTGTTAAGCCAACTCACCTGGACTTTCCTTTGTCTACTCCTGACCCTAGCACTCTACCACTGACCTCATCATTTCATCCTACTTAACCTCTAACTAACGGCCTTGATTTACACAACTGCAATAAAGGCCTACAGGTTGCAGTCTTTCCTGCCCTCTAAAGTATTCCTTTCTCCTCCACACTGGACCTTTACAGATCCAGGTGAAATGGTCTCTTGGCCAATTTGAAACCCCAACAGTGCTAGCATAGAACATAACCCATACTAAGCATTTGTAAATGTCTGTCGAATGAACACTTGATTCAGTCATGTTTGCATGACTTTGCATAAAAGAGACGGAGTCCTGGGTTTTCTCAGGCATGAGTCACTCAGTCAATGAGTGGCTGTCATTGACTTCCAGGTTTGGCCCACTGTTTGTCTGTTTGTGTTTTAGGTTTTAGAGGTTTTGTGGTTTCAACTTTTTATCTTTTAAGAAACAAAATATCACTTCTTCACGGCAAGGCATTGTTGTCCTTATTTATCTATTTATTCGTTGAAACAGTCTCACTCTGTTGCCTGAGCTAGAGTGCAGTGGTGTCATCAGAGCTCACAGCAACCTCAAACTCTTGGGCTCAAGTGATCCTCCTGCTTCAGCCTTCCGAGAAGCTGGGACTAAAGGCATGCACCACCACGCCTGGATAATTTTAAAATTTTTATAGAGACTGGGTCTCACTACGTTGCCCAGGCTAGTCTCAAACTCCTAGCCTCAAGTGATCCTCCTGTACCAACCTCCCAAAGTGCTGGGATTACAGGTATGAGCCACTACGCCCAGCCTTGTTGCCCATATTTAGACATAAGAATTTGGACATCACATGAACTTCAAGTTGCACTTTTCTGCAGATGGTTTATCTGAGCTTTCCTCTGTCAGGGACGGGGAAAACATATTTCCAGCTGCTTCACCTAGCACATTAATTGTCACAAGGGAAAAAGAAAGTGTTGGGTTTAATTTAATTAGCAGAGCACAAAGAAGGTGCTGGCACTGGTTTGAGTGGTGAGATAGGGTGGCTGAAGCCCAGAGTCCTACCTCAGGAGCACCAGGCTCCCTGCCAGACCTTTGACTCACTTTACAAAGGAGGAATGACTGTAAGCAAACATTTCAGTAAAAATACTGCAAACCACTTGTGATTAAGAGTTTACTCTCAGCAAATAATAGTTTCCATAGAGAAAGGAAAACTCTATCAATGGTTAACAAACAGGCCATCAGGAAGAGCTTAGGAATGATCCAAACACTTCCACGTCTAACATGTGCAGAGCCCCCTGTGGGGTCAGATCAAAGAAGCTACCAGAAATAGTGTCAGGACAAGGCCAAGGTAGCCACATACATTGCTGGTGGAGGTGGGGGATGAAGTGGAGAGAGAGAGAGGAGGAGGAGACAGATATGGACAGGCCAGTTTTGCTAATCTTTACCCCATTTTCTGAGGTTCCTCTAACATTTTTCAATGCATGATCTACTGGTTATCTAGGGGGATGAAGGAGTATTCATTCCTTTAATATAAACTGAATACCTGTTATGTATTAGGCAATCATTAAGCCCTGGAAATTCCAATATGAATAAAAAGGCATTTCCTCAAAGATCTCCAGCTGGGTGCAGTGGTGCATGCCTAGACTCAGCTACTTGGGGGATTGCCTGAGACCAGGAGTTTGAGGGTATAGTACATAATGACCCCACTTGTGAATAGCTGCTACACTCCAACCTGGACAACATAGCAAGACCTCATCTCTTAAAAAAAAGGATCTCACTGTGTGGTCAGGGAGACAGATGGGAAAACAATTATAATATAACATGTGAGGGGTTAGAATGGAGAAGATACAAAGGATGAAGGCACCAGAACCCTATTTTCCCTTGGGTTCAGTAGGAGTTGACCTTTGATTTGAGACTCGAAGGCTGAATGAGAATGGACAGGGCAAGAAGGAGAACATTGAGAACAGTACAGGTTGTATGTGGGGAGCCCAGAGGCCTGATGAGCTGGGGGAGAGCCAGCAGTAGTGAGTTCTGCCAAGGCTAGAGCTCAAAGGCTCATGAGAGCTGTACAGAAATTAGGCACCAAGAAAGGCAGAGCCAGGTGGGGAAAGGCCATTGGAAGATCCTGAGCGCTCTCCTGTGGCTGATGGGCAACCACTGAGCAGGTCTAGTCAGCCTAACCTCACCTTGGTCCGGCTGTCCCTCCCTGTCCCAAACACTAGAGATAAATACAGTAATGTCTGTCACCTGGAAAGCAGCCCTCCATCAATCATGTGGAATGGTGCTGAACCCCATGTTGTTTCTGAAGTGTTTCTGGAACTCTTTCTGCAAAAGCAGAAAGAACTGGGGGTGGGATTGGGGTCCCCAGAGAGCCTGCTGTATCAGATCCTGAATTCAGGAAAACTGTTATTGAACTGTCACAGCACACAAAAATTGCAAAGGACCATGGAGAACTCAATGCCTCTTTTAATATGGAAACTGAGGCCAAAGAGTAGAAATGGCTACAAAGTGTCTCAAACAGAACAAAACCCAGGTCTCCTGCCTGCAGACTAGTGCTTCTGCGGTCTAGTGGCCACTCAGCCTCCTTCTGCTAACAGCACCATAATCTTCCTCCAAGCAACCACCCCCTTCGCCTGGCTGAGCCCTACGACCCACATCTCCAGACTAAGTCCACAAATGCCAATCCCTCGGGCACAAGCTAAGGTCGAAGTTAGACACAGAGCTCCACAAAGCCACCCAGGGGTAGCAGGAGGCTTCTGCTTTTCCTTCCACTGGAGTTGACCTATGCAGGGCTTCCCATGCCAGGACGATCAGGGAAAAGCCTAGGGAGAAGGGGAAGCTAGATCCAGGTGACATTGTTCTAGCCTCTATGTCAGGTTGTGCCCGACCTTTTATCAGACATCCCTCCTTTGTTTTCTTTCTCCATCCTATCCTTGCTACTTCTCTCCCGGGCCAGACACAGTAGGTTCAAATCCCGGCTTCACTGCTTACTGTGTGAGTCACTCAACTTCTGAGCCTGTGTCGGCATCTGTAAACTGGGAGTACCACCACCTGTTTGGGTTTCTGGGAGGCTGAAGTGAGAAGTTCCGTGTAAAGCACTTACATCAGTGCCCGGCACCCAGCAAGCACTCACATATCACTATTAACATATTATGCCAGCTTGAATTAGGGTTTCTGTCACTGGCAACATAAGGAGTTTGAGCAATACAGTGCCCTGTTACCGACACATCATGCTATGATCACAAAATCACATATGATCCCGGATTCCTCCCAAGAAGAGCAAAGCTCTAAGTCTGTGTATTTAAGGGCCATATTTCGGCTCTATGGAGACCCCGAGACACCTCTTTCGTGTCTCCTTTCCACGCCCCAGGCCGAGCGCCCACACGCCAGCGCTCCTCGGGTCACTGCAGCGCCGCGCGCCCGGGCGCCCGCCCTCCGCCGGCCCGCCCCCTCTCCTCGCCTGCGGGCCCGCGTCCACACCGCCTGCTCCGCTCCTGTGGCCCGGGCTTGGGGGCGGCGGGCGGTCTGCTGGCTTCGCCCAGTGTGAGCGCGGTGAACTACCTCCGCAACTCCTCACCCACCTGGCGCGACCCCGGATGTGGGCGTGCGCGCCACCCAGCCACGACCCCGAAGCCGCGCTGACGCGAGCGCCTCAGCCAATCGCACGCCCCAGGCCATGCGACACGGCCAGGTCTGCCAATGGGCGCCGGCCCGACTGCCGCTTCCGGCCCGCCCTCTAGCCCAGGGCCGGGGGAGGGCCGGCCTGCTAGCCCGGCTGCCAAGGAGCAACCACCGCGACTCCGCCCCGCTGGGCGCCGGCCAGGTGAGTGCTGCGCTGCGCCCCCTCTGCCCGGCGGGCAGGGCCATGGGAAAGGTTGCGGCGGCGGAGGGCAGCTGCGCCTCTCCCTCGTAACCCCCATTGCGTTCACCTGGAGACTCGCAAGGAGGTACTAGTCCTCTTGCCTGCGCACCTGGAGGGCGCCGCCCCCTCCCCGCCCCGGTACGCCCACAGGCCAGCTTAGTGGCCGGGTTCAGGGGATGCCCCCACTACAGCCTTTGGACTGGAGTGATTTGGTAATCATCGGAGCTTGGTTGTTTTAGAGAATCGAGCTGCAAGGGGCCTGCTTAGCCCTCTTCCTGGGCATTGGTGGGAGCAAATCTTCTTGTCTTGGGATTAGTGTGGGCAGATGGTCAGGGCCCAGTGCTCCGGCTCCGACATATGCTACTGGCTCCGGCTCCGACATATGCACTTGGGTGACAGGTAGGCCCCCTGCACCTGTCACCCAAGTGCACAGAACTGGGATGAATGCCAGGCTCACTCAGGGCACCTCCTGCCCAGTGGGCTGGGCAGACCGTTTTCTTCAGGAAGGACTCAACTACCATGCAAGTTCTACTGCTTCACCCACTTCTTTGAACCCTGCTGTCGCTTTTGAACAGACCCTGAACTTGGAAGCCAGCAAGCTACCTTAGTAGGCAGTGTTCTCTCTGCTTGCACACCGGGCGGGTGTGACAGTGTGATAAGAAACCTTTAGGAAGAACTCCTAATGCCCAACTCAGAGGAATCAAATGCTTGGGGGCTTCCTTGGTACTGTGTCCCTCCTACCACATCTGTGCCCCCCTTCCCTTGGGCACTTTTTGGTCTCTGAAAGGATCTGTGAATAAACTGGTGCAGAAAGGTAGATGGCTTTGAGGGTGGTGAGCAGGCTTTCTTAGCAGAATGACTGAAGGGTCAACTCAAATTCACTTTGTAGATATTCTTGGTAAATTAGAGGTTGTTTATTTGGAAGATGTCCTCCCATCCTTTCACTGCTATAAAAAAAAGAAGTCGCAGGATGCCAGAATCATGGGATTTTGTGTTCCAACCCCCCTTTCAAGAGTCCTCTGACCCAGTGAGCCTGGACAGGTTGCCTGATCAGTTCACAGCCAGGAAGTGGCACGTGAGGATGTGGGGGCAGCATCCTGGCAGAGGCAGAAAGGTGTGTCTGACCAAGGATGTTTACCTTGGGTCACCTTTAGCTGGGGAGTGACTGGTGGCTGAGTCTCCACTCTGAAGGGAGTTTGTAAACACAGCCCCCACCTCATCCTTCCTTTACAGCAGAGTCTTCTTCCATTAACTGGCCAGAAGGTTCAATTATGTCTCTAGGGAAATTACTGCTTAGTCATTTTTCTGAAGGAAAGTGTATTAAATACAAGTCAAAGTCTCCACTCATTGAGCTCAACCCGCAGACTGAGCCTAACTAAACTGGCTACTTATACAGTGAATTGTGAGCTATCTTTGAAGACTAATTTATATTAAAATGACACCACAGAAACCCTACATTTAAAAAAAAATCTTACCCAACATTTTATTGAAGATTTTCAAGCATGTAGCCAAGTTGAAAGAATTGTGTGGCGAACATCCCCATATCCACCAGCTAGCTTCTACTATTGACATTTTACTATGCTTGCTTTATCATGTATCTATCTGCCAATTATGACCTTACTTTAAAAGTAGTTTATGACATTTTGCTTTCCTGGAACAATGTTTTTGTCTTAGAGAGTTGGCAGTATGTTGAAGGTACTTGGTGGTGATTATCCTTAAATGCTGCTTCAGCACCTACTGTGTGCAGAGCGCTGTTGTGAGGAAAGGCTAACCAGAAAGAGACTTGAGTTTGGTGGATTTCTTAAGAGATGAAAGATAAATGGCAGTTTGTGGTAGCAAATGCCAAGTAAAAAGTAAATAATGCCAAGTGAAAATGCCAGGGGACATCAATAACATTCATTGAGTTCTTGCTGGCTACTGAACACTGTTTATTAAAAGCTCTGTGCCTGTATTATCTCATTTAATTCTCACAACAACTAGGTAAGTATGTCACTATTCCTTTCTGCCTCTTATAGAGTAGGAAATCAAAGCACAGAGAGGTTAGTTAGCTTTTGGTGGCATTAGAAAGTGATAGAGCCAGGACCTGAATACTGGCAGTCTGGGTCCAAGCAGCTTGGGCACTCTTAGTCACTGTGAAGATGCCAGAGGGACCCTGACCAGGGAGGAATAAAGGGGTAGCTGGGAGTTACCAGGGGTCCGAACTTAGGCATCTACATGCAGATGCTGGTTGTCAAATGACTCCAGAAGACTGGTGTTTGGTTTTTCCTGTTCATTTGATGGGCGCTGGTGCTCCTGAGATTAAGGAGGTCACCTATTCTGCCAGGGGCTCTTTCCCCACAGGCTTGCTCCATTCTGCTGGTCAGTTGTCCTCCTATTGTTTTTTTTGTTTGTTTTTTTTTTTTTTTCTTTTTTAGGAACTAGAGAGTCAACTTCCTATTGTTTTTCTCTTGTTTCTCTTCCTGTTGTAGGTGTTTCCCAGAGCTCGGCTTCTGCTCTGTTTCCTGTCTTCCTGTCTCTTATCTCCTCCATCGCTTCTTTCTCAACCTGCTCTCTTGTCTTCTTGGTGTTTGTAAGATACACTTTGTTCCCAAAGAGCCAATTTTGCCCATGGCAGATGCTCCTATCTTCAGATGTGTTCCATCCCCTGCTGTCCTTAGGGTTGCCTTCTGAAACACCCACGTGCCACTGGCCCCAGCCTCCAGGCACCTAAATAAACTGTCTCCTGATAACTCCTGTTTTCAAACCAAACCGGCCACACCCTCATCCGTAGGTTCTTTCCTCTCTTCTGGCCCCAGGGCAGTGTTCCAGGGTTGGATCTGGGAGCCGCCCTGTCAGGCAGAGCTTGTCGTGATTGCCCTGTTGTCCTCCTCTGGCCACTCTGCGTTTGTCTGCCTTGTGGCTGGCCATGTGGCCCTGCCATGGTAGGGAAGGTTAGGTTTGTTCCAGGTAGGAACCCCAAAAGTATGTATAGGACAGAATGTGGTTAATGCAAAACTTAGGCTTGTAAAACAATAGCCTCAGGAGTCTGGAGAGTCCCCAGATGTTGTAAATCTAACAGAGAGCTACAGCCAGCATTCCTTCCTGCCTCCCCCTCCCCACCATAGGAATGAGGGCTGTCCCTCCCTAGCTCCCCCGATAAGGACGACTCCAGAGCTGAAGGATGTATTTGACTGGGGCAGGGGTCCCAGGAGCTGCTTGTTTGAAAAAGAACTTATTACAAGCAGCTGTTCTGGCCCACTTACTCCTCCCAGAGAAACCCTCTATAAAACCCAAGACTCTCCCCTTTTCTCTCATGGACGCTTTTTTCGGCCTCCACCCATCTACACCCAGATGCTCAAAATAAACAGCATTTTGCTACACATGAGGCTTGGTGTGTGTCTCTCTCGGCTCCGGACCTAAGAGGGAGCTTGTTCCTACCAGAAGCCAGGGCTCCAGAAATGACACCCCAGGGAGCCCCAGCAGTGTCGGGCCTGAGGGTGGGGGGTGGTCAGTGGCAGAGCTTAGCAGCAGCCTGGGCCACCCCCTACAAAGCACAAAGAAAGAGAAGAGAAAAGGAAAGGTGTGGAGAATAGCAGGAGAGCGATGGGGGACAAGAGGCAGTCACTCAGGGAGGATCAAGAGAGCACCCTTACATCCTTGAATTCACGTGGTCACATGGCTCCTGCAGGACCCCCGAAAGGCTCTGGCTGGGATGCCATCAGCAGGGAGGGACCAGCGTAGGGGGAGAGACCTGCCCTCCCTGGGGCGGCAGCAGGACAGTTGTATGTTTTGAGACTCAACTAAATCTGTAAGCTTTCATTTATTCTTTTGAAAGGAAAGATCTGAAGGAAATATAACAGAATAATAATATTCATTAAATTTGGGGAGGTAGGTACTTAGATGTTACCTTTTTTTCCCCTGTACTTTTCTGTATGTTTTTAAAAATACCCATAATTAGAGGGAAGGAAGGCTGGGCACAGTGGCTCATGCCTGTAAATCCTAGTACTCTGGGAGGATCACATGAGGTCAGGAGTTTGAGACCAGCCTGAGGCAGAGTGAGACCCCGTCTCTACCAAAAATAGAAAAATTAGCCGGGTGTGGTGGCGCATGCCTGTAGTCCCAGCTACTTGGGAGGCTGAGGCAGGAGGATCGCTTGAGCCCAGGAGTTTGAGGTTGCTGTGAGCTACAGTGGCACCACTGCATTCTAGACAACAGAGGGAGACTCTGTCTCAAAAAAAAAAAATGGAAAGGCAAAGAAAGAAAAAGGAATCTACACTGGAAACCAGGCTCTGCTTCTAATTTGTGGGGTGACTACTCACCCCCCTCCTTGGATCTCATTTTGTCATCCATGGCATGAGACAGTCACACCCACCTGGCTGATGTCCCCTGGGCCCGGAGCCAGGACACTGACTCTTGCCTTCCTGCCACCAGTGTTCCTCCAGCCACTGCCGCCATGCCCAACTCGGTGCTGTGGGCAGTGGACCTGTTTGGGAGAGTGTACACGCTCTCCACGGCCAGCCAGTACTGGGAGCTGTGCAAGGACGGCCAGCTGGAGTTCAAGCGGGTCAGCGCAGCCACGCAATGCTGCTGGGGCATCGCCTGCGACAACCAGGTCTACGTGTACGTGTGTGCCAGCGATGTCCCCATCCGCCGCCGAGAGGAGGCCTATGAGAATCAGGTAGCCTTGCACATTTGGAGTTGCTGGGTGGGCGGGTTTGCTGGGTTATTGGTTAACGTGATGAACCGCGGAAGAGAAACAGAGACCGCAGCCTCCCCGATTCCCACATGCATCCCCTTCCTTATACTTAATTCCGAGTGGTGTAGCGTCCAGGGTCTGTGGGACTGAAGTGGGCTCCGGCCACTGTCCAGGAGCCTAGGATGAGGTTGCCCTTCCCTGCCTGCCCCCTGGGAGCACTGTGGCTGGCGGGTGGGTCCTCTGCTCATTGGAGCTGTGCCGATGTGCTCGCCATGATGAAGAAGCACGGGGTCCCTGATCCCTGGGCCCTGGGAGAACCTCTACTCACCTCCCATTCTGGAGACCAGCAAGAGGGACCTGCTGGTCAGGGTCTGCTGGCCCCGGAGAGGCCCTGCCTGCCTGGGACCGTCCTGGAAGGCTTGGGTCCAAGGCCGTCTCTGTGTCCCCGGCCCTCAGCGCTGGAACCCCATGGGTGGCTTCTGCGAGAAGCTCCTGCTGAGCGACCGGTGGCCATGGAGCGATGTGAGTGGGCTCCAGCACCGGCCGCTGGATGGGGTGGCGCTGCCCTCACCGCACTGGGAGTGGGAGTCCGACTGGTACGTGGATGAGAACTTTGGAGGGGAGCCCACCGAAAAAGGGGTAGGTGAACTCAGTACCCACCGTGGCTGCCCTGGGTTGGGGGGTGCCTCAGGCTCACCAGGCCCCCCATGCTGCTGTCCCTAACACCCCATGGTGTCTGACCTCTGCTTGCTGTGACGGGGTGGGGATTGGGGTTTTCGTGCTGGCTCACTCCCTCCTCTTCCTCTCCTTCCTCCCCACCTTCCCCAGCTCTTTAAATTCCTTCCCCCTGGAGCCTCACAGAGCCCCTACCTTGGTGTTTCAGGGGTGGACATATGCCATTGACTTTCCTGCCACCTACACGAGAGACAAGAAGTGGAATTCTTGCGTGCGGCGGCGAAAGTGGATCCGGTACAGGAGATACAAGTCCCGGGACGCCTGGGCCAAGGTCTCAGTACCTGAGTGTGGCTTAGGGGCAGTACAGGGCCAAGACAGATGGGGGACTGGGGCCAGCAGGGCCTGGCAGGAGGGTCACATGAAGCCTCGTCCCCACCCCAGGACCTGGCCTCTGAGCTGTTTCCTATCCTGGGAATACCAAGGTGCTGCGCGTCTCTTCATCTGGGAGACGGCCACACGGGGAACGCGGCCAGACCATGGCCCAGCATGGCAGAGAACTTGTTCTGACTGAGGTCTTCAAGCTGCTCTGTCCCAGGCTGAGCCTCCCTCTGGCACTTCCGTCCTCCCCTCCCCCACCAAGGGAGCGCCTCTGGCTCTAGTGTTTTCATGAACCTGGAGAACCTCCCCACTTAGGAGAGGCTGGGCCAAGTGAGAGCAGGCTGCAGGCACTCACCAGACCTCTCTGGACAGCCCGCGGCTGTGAGGTGGGGCTGCCAGCCCAGTCTGGCTGTCCTGGGACTGGAACAGCAGGGTGCCGGCCAGCAGCGGGGCCGTGTTCTGTCATCAGCCCCATTCTACTGGAGGGAACAGAGTCACAGCGGCCAGGTCACTGGGATGCCCAGAGCTGAGATCCTGCGGTGCGTCTACCTTCCACTCAGGAGCAGCAGTGACCACTCGGGGACAGTGGCCCAGGCCTAGCAGCTGATAGAACAGGGCAGAGGGGACCCAGGGCCAAGAACCCGCAGTCCTGGTGCTGCCTTCTCTGTGAAGTCAGGCAGCTGGGGGCCAAGCTGGGGGTGGGAGGCAGAGGGGAGGTGGGCATGGAGGGGTCCTACCCAGGTACTGACTGCCACTGCCTCCTGCCCCCTTGTTTCAGATCCCCTCGAAGGATGACCCCAAGCAACTACCTGACCCCTTCAATGACCTCTCCGTGGGGGGGTGGGAGATCACGGAGGAGCCCTCGGGCCGCCTGTCGGTGTGGGCCGTGTCTGTGCAGGGAAGGGTAAGGCCAGCCCCTCTGCCCAGGATGAGAGGTGGCTGTGGGAACCGGCCACAGGAGGTGGGGGTGGGGGGTGGGGAGGAGAGAAGCTGGCCCGGGTGTCCTCCCAGGGATGGAGGAAGGGTGAGAGCTGCCTTTGAGACGTTCTCCTTGCATCTGCACAGGAGGCAGGTGATGGGACTGCCACACCCCACTCCTGGGGATCTGCTCTGTGGGCCCTGGGTCTTGTACCTCCCAGAACCCTCTGTCCCCCACCCATGCCTGGTCCTAGCCTGTCCCTCCTCTGAGCCCCCAGCATACTGGTCAGGGCCCACCCTGGGCTCAGGCACCATCAATATTATTGCCTCAGATAGCTGCTGAGCACCCTGCCAACTCCTGCGGTGCCTCCCACACCACGTCCAGGAGTGTGGTTTCTGGATGGTGGGTCTGTGGATATCTAGAGAGAGGAGATCCTTTTCTCAGGGAGTTTGTGAAATAAGCACAAGAATAAGGCCAACCCCGACAGCAGCAGTGGCACAGATGGCTCTGCGTACAGGTGACGCAGCACTCCAGTCATGGTTTTAAATTGCGCTTTGTGATTATCCAGTCACTCTTACCGCAAGTTGACCGCAATTCTCCAGTTGGCTTTGGAACAGTCACAGCAGGGTTTTTTAGCAGGCTCACCTGCGGGTCACGTGTGGCCTGGGCTTACATTAACCACAGTTGCTTCCTCCGAGCCATGCTGAAGGGTCTCGGGGAGGGGGCTGGGCAGAGTAGGGAACTGGCCTGGGACAGAGCCCCCATCAAGGGGCCATGCCCACCTGGACCCGAAGAGAGGGGCCACGGAACAGTGTCTATGTCCCTGAGTGCCAGCTGTGTGCCACACTGCCCTGTGCCACCCCTGTGGTCCCTCAGAGGTTGGACCAGGACCATAGGTGACAGATAGGCACTGATGCCACTTGGCAGCGGACAGACGGCTTCCCAGGCCTGGTCCTGTGGGCCAGTTGTGGGGGGCCAGTGGCAGGATTGGAGGCCAGGGCTCCCCAGTGTGAGGACAGCTCTCTGGAGGGGGTCACCAGCCCTTCCTGGACCCCAAGTGATGAACAGCCTCCTCCAGATAAAATGAGCCAGACAGTTTGGATGAGATGAGCGAGTTGCTCAGTTTAACTACTCAGTTAAGGAGAAAAAGAACTAGACATTTTAGTCATTTGTACCAATGGGGTTTGGGGGTTTTGCCATTTAGCCACCCCGGCTGGCTTCCCCTAGAGACAGGTGTCCTGAGAGCACATCACCATGAGGGGGCGCAGGACGCACGGGCTGGCCGGGAGCAGCCCGGGTGGCGTCACGTTCTCACAAGCAGATGAAGGGAACAAGTCTGTCCTCTGGTGCTAAGGTCCAGGGTTTGCATGTCTTTCTAACTGACCGCAGTGGGATTGGGAACGAGACCTGGCCAGTCAGGGTGCTGCGGCCCCCAGTCCCAGTGGGGACGTGTGACACAAGTGCCATGCCCTCTTCTCACCTCGCAGGTGTGGTACAGAGAGGACGTCAGCCACTCCAACCCCGAAGGCTCATCCTGGTCCCTGGTGGACACCCCTGGGGAGGTGGTCCAGATCAGCTGTGGGCCCCACGACCTCCTGTGGGCCACGCTGTGGGAGGGGCAGGCCCTAGTCCGGGAAGGAATCAGCAGGAACAGCCCCACAGGTGGGCAGCCCAGGGCCGGCCCTCGCCCCGCACTGGGGGAAGGGGGTGCTCGCTGCCCCGCATCTGGGCTGACGGAGGCTGCCTGGGGTTCTCTGGGCTGCTAGGAAGCTGCTGGTCCGTAGTGGAGCCTCCGGGGTCTGAAAACGGGATCATGCACGTCTCCGTGGGAGTTGGCGTGGTCTGGGCTGTCACCAAAGACCGGAAGGTAAGACAGGGATGCTGGGGCTGGATCCGTCGAAGGCTATGTTTTTTCGTTCATGTGAGTGTGATCTGAACCCTTTTCGACAAATCCGGCCTCACCCAAGCACCATGTGCTTTTATGTCGCTAAAATTGGTGCCCGTCTCCAGGATGTCTGGCTCCGTGAAATCTTCCCTCGTTCACACCCCGGACCAAGGTGCAGCCACTGCATCTATCACTTAATAGACCACAACGTTTCAAGTCATCAGAAGCTAGTTTACTGACACTCCAGTTAACTGAACACCGCCCCTTTCTCCTACTCAGTGCTTGTCATTTGTATTTTTTTTTTTTTTTTGAGACAGAGTCTCACTGTGTTGCCCGGGCTAGAGTGCCCTGGTGTCATCCTAGCTCACAGCAACCTCAAACTCCTGGGCTCAAGCAATCCTCCTGCCTCAGCCTCCCGAGTAGCTGGGACTACAGGCATGCGCCACCACGCCTGGCTAATTTTTTCTATATATTTTTAGTTGTCCGATTAATTTCTTTCTATTTTTAGTAGAGACGGGGTCTCGCTCTTGCTCAGGCTGGTTTCGAACTCCTGAGCTCAAACAATCCACCCGCCTCGGCCTTCCAGAGTGCTAGGATTATAGGCGTGAGCCACCACGCCCGGCCTTGTCATTTGTATTTTATCAGAGGCTGGTCCGGTAACATAAGCTAATTTCAGATTCATGTGATTTGTCTCTAGCCACACGTCAAGGTGGGGTTCCCTAGCCCTGAGGGAGCGCATTGGGGCCAGGGTGGGGGGTCGGACCTGTGCAGGTGACTCGTGGAGCCACAGGCAGGCCTGGGGAGAATAAGGTTGGGTTGTGTGTATTTTTACAAGTTGGTCTGAACAAAGTAGCTTTAAAGAGACTATTTTATGAAGCACTAAGAAAAAACCAAAATAGGTTATTTATTCCAGTAACGACTTTAAAGAAATAGTTTTCCTAGATAACTTCATTAAGGCCGTTGTCTTCCACGGAGGCAAACTTGGTTCAATAAAGTGGCCTTTTCCAAGCCTTAGGCCAGAGAACCAGTGGGAAGTTGCCAGGACAGGTGTGGCTGAGGCCAGGTGACCCCCAGCCCTTGGGGTGGGGTGGGGATGGTGCCAAGTGCAGAAGGGGATGCGGCCAGGGTGTGGGAAGAGGGTCGTGTTCAGACGCTTCCTCCCTAAATATGTGCCCTGCTCATTTGTGGCATGAACCAAAGGATCAAATTATTCATTTCTTTGTCCTGAGCTTTAAAACAATCCATTCTGTTTCAGTGGCCCTCCAGGGAGGCATGTTTATTTCTGACTTTCCCAGGTGTGGTTCCGAAGAGGTGTCAACTCTCACAACCCCTGCGGCACCAGCTGGATCGAGATGGTGGGAGAAATGACGATGGTGAACGTGGGCCTCAACGACCAGGTATGCGCTGGGGTCGCAGCTCATAAACGGTTCGGGGGGGCGGGGAGCCTCCAGGTGTCCCACTGTCCCTTCCCACTGAGGGGGGCTTGTGCTAGCAGCACAGCAGGGGTCCCAGCCTCGCGGGCTGGTTCTGCCACAGTCCCGGAGCTCCTGCTTGTCCCCCGTCAGTCCCCAGGGACCCTCAGAGCAATGAGTATGGATCCGCAGGGTGGCAGGGAGCATCTTGGAGACTGGAAGGTTTCATTGAGAAACGTCTGGGCTGACTCAGGTGAGTCAGCCACCAAGTGAAGGATGAAGCTGATCTCCTACCCTTGGCTCTGTGGGTGCCACTCATTTAAGCACTGCCTGGCTGGTTTTACGGCGGGGCCTCCTCCTCGGAGATAGTGAGGTTTGGGCAGCTGTAAGACTCAGAAGGTGCAGCCCTGGCTGTGAAGGCGACACCCGCACCCTGTCGCACTGCACCAGAAGCTCTTTGCAGGGTGCCAGGCTTCCCGCAGCTACCACGTCCTCCTGCCATTCACCCTGGCGACGCAGCACACAGTGGCTGGTGCAGGACAGGTGCCTGCTGGTGCCCAGGGGGCTGAGCCTGAGGCAGTGACTGGCTCAGCCTTCCTTGGCCAAGTGATAGAGATGCCACAGCCCACCCAGCAAGGCCACCTTGGCCCCTAAGCAAACCTTCCTTCCCCAGCACCAAGGGCAGAGAGCAACACTCCAGCCCAGCCACGCTTCCCCAGGAGATTCAGCCCAGAATTGACGAGGTTATTTTGCATCTTTAAAAAGACCAGGACCGTCTTTAGGTTCACTTGGGGATCAGCTTCCAAACAGAGGCCATGCAGAAGACAGAGACATGGGTGGACCTTATATCCCAGCACAGGGTCCACCAGCCACACTACCACCTCTGCATCTTGTCACCCCAGAGCCCTGGGTCTGCCTGGGTCAGGGAGCCAGGACCAGGTCCCTGCTTCTCCTGAGCTTGCTGGTGTGCCCTCCACTTCCTGCACAGCCCCTCACGGACCTCCAGCCCTCACACGAACTCATGCACACACCCCCCACACGTGGCAGCTCCTGCCTGTGTCTGCACACGTGTCCTCTAGCTCTGGGGCACAACCCTCTGGCCCCCGTCTTACCCCCACACTCCCAGCAAGCAAGAGTAGCCCCTAGGCCAGCAGCACCCTCTCTGTTCTAGGTCTGGGGCATTGGCTGCGAGGACCGAGCCATGTACTTCCGGCAGGGCGTCACCCCCAGCGAGCTCAGCGGAAAGACATGGAAAGCCATCATCGCAGCCCGAGAGTGTGACCGGTCACACTCCGGCAGCTCGTCGAGTCTTCTCAGGTGATCCCAGGTGGCAGGGTGTGGAGGAGTTGGACTAGGGATGGGCTCTCTGTGGCCTTGGAGGGCAGCCTCCAGAGGAGGCTGCCACCTGGCCTTGGCAGGATGATGGGTCTTATCCCAGGCAGGAGAAAATCCATCTCTGGCCCACAAGAACCACTAAGGGCTGCAGCCTCCTGCCCTCAGATTTGTGCCTGGTGTGTTGCTCAGCCACCTCGGCCTCCAGAGAGGAGGTCCTGGGGGAAACTGGGGCAGCTGCATGGAGGTGTCATTGGACACCCTGGGCTGTACCTGGGGGCAGGCTGAGGCTGGGGTGTCCCAAAGGAGCCAGGATCCACCTGAGCAGGGCTGGTCCGTTGGTTCAGAAGATCTGGGAGAGAAAAGGCTTGTTTGTGGGGTGGACTCTAAGGCCCCTCTGAAAGGGAAGCCAGGGCACGATGGAGGGTCTCTTGTCTGGAGCAGTGGTCTCAGATTTGGCATGCGCCAGAGTTGCCTGGAAGGCTCCTTCAGACATGGAGGAGTTCCAAGCCCCAGCCCAGAGTTTCTGTTTGAGATTTTGCGTTTCCCATAAGGTCCCGGGTCATGCTGCCACTGCTGCAGTCCTGGGGACCTCACCTTGGGACCCACGGGTCTAAAAAGCCCAGGTGAATCCCAGCTCTGTCCACCAGCCATGAGAGCACAGATGAGTGACTTGGTGTCCGAGCTGGGGACACCTCAGCTCTACAGCAGAAGTGCTCACAGACATGAGCATTGACTGAGATGGCACATGGAGCCCTGGCTCTGCAGCTCGGACTCCCCAGCCCCTGGTCCACACCTCTTCGCTCCCCAAGCTTGGTGGTCATCACCCTACTGCACCGTCAGCCCAGAGGGCCAGGGAGGAGCTGGGAAGGGCTTTGCTCACATTTCACCTGAGGCTTTAGTCTCCTCAGCTGCTAGTTCTTAACCTGGACAGCACACTGGAATCAGCTGAGAAGCTTCAAAAACTAGTGACCCCAAATTTTCATGACCTTGGGTTTGGCAGTGGCTCTTGGATATGACACCAAAAGCACAGGGAGCAAAAGGAAATATAGATAAATTGGACTCCGTCAAAATTAAACACTTTTCTGAATCAAGAACACCATCAAGAGAGTGAAAAGACACAGAATGGGGGAAAATTTTTGCAAATCCTATGTCTGCTAAGGGTCTAGTGTCTGGAATATATAAAGAAGTTTTACAACTCAACACGAAGACAAACCACCCAATTAAAAAAGAACAAAGAACTTGAATAGACGTTTCTCCAAAGAAGATACACAAATAGTCAATGTGAAAAGATACTAAGATCATTAGTCACTAGGGAAATGCAAATAAAAACCTTAATCAATACCACATCACACCCACCAGGACAACCATCATCAAAAAGAAAGACAATGACAAGCACTAGTGAGGATCTGTAGAAATTAGAACCATGTGCACTGCTGGGGGGAATGTAAAATGGCGCAGCACCGTGGAGAGCAGTCTGGAAGCTCCCCAAGAAGTTAAACGCAGAATTACCGTATGACCCAGCAAGTCCACTCCCAGGAATGTGCCCAAAAGAATTGAAAACGGGTGTTCAAGGAAAAACTTCCACAACGATGTTTATGGCAGCACTAATCACAACAGCCCAAAGTGGACACAACCCAAATGCCCATCAGGGGACGAACAAAATGTGGCCGAACTGTGCAATGGAGCATCACTCAGCCACAAAAAGGGAGGAAGTCGTGACGCACACTACACACAGACGAACCTTGGACACATCATGCGAGGGAGCAGACACAATAGGCCACATGTGGATTCCACGATTCCATTTCTATGAAATGTCCAGAGTAGGCAAGTCTCTAGAGACAGAGGCAGATTGGTGGTTGTCGGGGGTGGCGGGGAGGAGGATGGGGAGTGATTGCTTCACAGTATGGGGTCTCCATTTGGGGTGATGAAAAGTTCTGGAACTAGGTAGTGGTGATGGTTGCACGACACTGTGAATGTTCTAAATGCCCTGAGCTATGCGCTTGGGCATGGTTACGGTGGTAATCTTTACATCATGTATTTAACCACAGTAAAAAAAGAAAATCCTAATTCTAGATCTCGACCTGCAGATACTTGATGTGATTGGTCTGAGGGGCGCTCAGGGGTCTGCTCCCTGGGAGGCAGGTATCGTCGTGTGTGTTGCACAGAGGAGGAGACGGGCGCTCAGAGAGGTTGGGACTTGCCCAGGGTCGCGTGGGCAGCCGTGGTGGAGCACGCTGGAGCCAGGGCTGCCTGACAGCAATGCGCGTCCCCCACAAGGCAGTGACAGGTCTGCCCTGTTTTGTCCCCAGTGCTGGCTGCTTCTTTGGCGACGAGGTGAGAGGCAGTGGCGAGTCAGCGCCCAGCGACACTGATGCCTCCTCGGAAGTTGAGAGACCAGGACCTGGCCAGCCTCTCCCCGTGGAGTCTTTGGACAATTCCAGGAACCTCAAGGAGAGCTTGTCCTCAGGCCCAGGGGCCGGCAGGACTGCAGAGGGTGCCATGGAGAATGCCTGCCCTACCAAGGGCGGCCCTGGCCTGGCCTCCACCCCGGCGGAGCTTCCCTGGACCAGTATTGACCTGAAGGAGCCCAAGAAGGTGCCCAGCCACTCGGCTGCTGGCTTCCCCGAGCCTACTGGCCTCTCCTCCTTGGGGCTCCTCCCCCTGGGTTTGGAGGAGCCCTATGGAGCGGACGACCACCCGCTGTGGGCCTGGGTGTCGGGAGGCGGCTGCGCTGTGGAGGCCTGCTACATGCCCAAGTGGTTCACTGCCCAGTCAGGTAAGGCTTCCTGCGGAGCCTGCGGCCATCGGCAGGGCCTGGTGTCCCAGAGGGTGCTCCTGGGGGACTTGGGGAGAAAGAGGAGGCCTGGGGGCTTGGGCAGACCCACTGTCCTGCCTGAATACCCCCTGACCTAGCAGCGGTGGCTGTTTGCTAAGCTGAATTGTTAGGGGGCAGCGACTTGCCCGTCAGATTGAAGAGTGGGGAGAGGCTCACGGGGCATTTTGCAAAGATTGTAGCTTTCTAGCAAGAAAAAGCTCATCGTGTAGGGAATAAAAGCCCTGGCCTCCTGCCCAGCTGCAGGCAGGACGGTGTCCTGAGGCTCTGGCTGGCCCACAGGCCTGTCCCCCTCGGTGCAGACGTTGTCACTCTCCATCATGCCGGCCCAGACCGCCGCCTGGAGGAAGCAGATTCTCCAGCAGCTCACAGAGAGGACCAAGCGAGAGCTGGAGAACTTCCGGCACTACGAGCAGGCCGTGGAGCAGGTGGGCACCCTGCTGTCCCTGGATGCATTTTTTTCCAACAGGCATTCACTGAGTGCCTGCTGTATACCACCCCTTAGGTAGGGTGGAAAAAATAGACGAGTGCATCCACCCCTCTGTCCATCCTTCCCAGGCCACGCAGCAGATTCAAGGATAAAGAAATAGATTTATTTGCTTATTCTTTTATCCTGGAGAACTTTTGTTCAGGCCCCACTGCGTTCCAGATGGGATATAAGCCCTGGGGACCCTGAGGTGGCAGCAACCTCCGAGGGAGGTGGAGGGGAGGGGAATTGCATTGTCCTGTCCCTGCTAAGGATAGCCTGGTGCCCAGATGGGCATCGTCTTACTGACACGAGTCAGCACAGGGGCGAGGGCTGCCTTAGACCCTCCCCAGGGCCGGCCCTGCCCAGGCCCTCAGAGACCCACCTGGAGCACATGACCAGCCTCATTCAGGGGCTTGGTCCAGGCTCGGCAGAAGCGTCCAGCTAGTGGCGGAGCTGGGCCTCTGGACACAGGCGGGCCAGGGCTTGGGTCTCGCTTTGCTGCTGACTCACTCTGTGACACTGGGCCCAGCACGGAACCTCCCTGAGCCTCAGTTTCCCCAGCCAGAACACGTCGGGTGTCCCACAGCGTTACTGTTGTCTTTAGCGTAAGAGGTGGAACTGGGGGCGGAGATCCCCTCAGGAAGCAAGGAGGCCAGGTACTAGGGTGTCTCTGGGGGTGCTGGGAGTGGGGCTCTAGGGTCTGTGGGGCCAGGGCCTGCCATGACTGTCCCCCTGCCCTGGGGCACGCACCCAGTCGGTGTGGGTGAAGACCGGGACCCTGCAGTGGTGGTGCGACTGGAAGCCCCACAAGTGGGTAGACGTCCGTGTGGCCCTGGAGCAGTTCACGGGGCACGATGGCGCTCGGGACAGCATCCTCTTCATCTACTACGTGGTCCACGGGGAGAAGAAGGTGAGATGGGGGGTCCCCACTGTGGAAGGAGCCTGGGAGAGGGGTGCGGGGCTGAGGGTGCCCAGGGTGGGGTGTCCCCAAGGGGCAGCGTTCCCAGGAGAGGGGACACAGGGCTGGGGGTGCAGGAGTGGGTCCAGGACGCTGAGCCGAGGTGCTCAGTCTGGGATCCACATCGTTTATCAAGCGCTCGCTCTTGGGCCCTGTAAGTCACAGGCAGGTGCGTGCCAGGGCGCCCACGGCCTCACAGAGCCACCTCCCTTCCGAGCAGCTGCTTACAGACTCTGGTTTTCCAGCTGAGAAATCAGGCTTGGGAAGATGGTCTCTCACCCCTCCCGACAGCCGGCACGTGCCAGGCAGTCGCCGTCTTGGCCGGGCGCGGTGCTCACACCGGTAATCCCAGCACTTTGGGAGGCCGAGGTGGGAGGATCGCTTGAGCCCAGGAGGTTTGAGGTTACAGTGAGCTACGATTATGCCACCGCACTCTAGCGTGGGTGACAGGGAGAGACCCTGTCTCTAAACATAAAAATAAAATGAAATAATACATTTTTTAAAAGCATCTCTTTAAGATGCAGCAGCAGCATCTGTTCACAGAGTCTGGCTTTGATGCTGGAAACTGCTTGGCCTTGTAGCCACCACTGAGACCCGCAGACCCAGGCCGTACTCCATAGAATCACGGTGACCTGTCCCTGTCTGTCCCCCACAGTGGGGGGCTTACCTCCCCGAGGCCCACCCTGCCCCGGGTGACAGCCCTGCCCATGCGCCCACTCTCTGAACAGTACATCCATGTGTTCCTCAACGAAGTCACGGTGCTGGTGCCCTTGCTCAGTGAGGGCAAGCACTCCTTTGCCCTGTACACCCCTGAGAGGACGCGCCAGAGGTGGCCTGTGCGTCTGGCTGCCTCCACCGAGCAGGACATGAACGACTGGGTGAGTAGGGGGTGGTCCCCCGGGGCCGGGATTTGGGGACGGCCATCTCAGGGCAGCCCGGCCTGCCCAGTGGTGACCAGCAGTGTGCCATGGCAGCTCGCTCTGCTCAGCCTATCCTGCTGTGAGAGCCGGAAGGTCCACGGCCGCCCATCCCCGCAGGCCATCTGGTCTGTCACCTGCAAGGGGGACATTTTCGTAAGTGAGCCCAGCCCGGACCTGGAGGCCCAGGAGCACCCGCTGCCCTGCGACCAGATGTGAGTAGTCTGCGCTCAGACGGGACCTGGGGCTCCCCCTCCCCCAGCACCCAGTGCCCGTGGTTCCAGAAGGGAAGCCCCCTGAGGACCGCAGCCCACATGGGACCAGAGGCTGCTGGTTCCCAGGCCCTGAACCCTCTGTGGAACCAGAACCTGGCTGGGCTGAGGGCGGATCGGCGCTGCCCAGCAGCTGCTGTGTGTCAGGAGGCACGTGGAGAAGGGAGGAGCCGGCTCAGCCCCCCATTCCTGGGGTCCCGGGATAGGACTGGGAAGGCATGTCCCTCCACCTGCCCGGGGCACAGACCTGGCACTCAGCCGCTTACAACTTCTACTAAGCCCCTGCTGCATGGGGTGGCTGGGGCCCAGGGGCAGAGAGGAGAGAGTAGCTGCTGGCCGAGGGAAAGTTCGACTGGGGGTGTGTTTTCTGGGTAGAGATGGTGGGGTTTGAGGTCCACTGAGTGTGAGGCAGGAAAGAGGACTTGGAGCTTGGTGGCTGGGAGGACGGGAGCAGGCTCCGGTGGAGGCGGGACCTGGAGGACCAGGAGGTGGGCAGCCAGGGCTGGACGCTGTGTGGGAGGCGTCACTGTCAGGGCACTGAAAGCCACAGAGGGAATGAGGTTGCCTTGGGGAAAGAGTGTGAGCAGAGTCCTAGGGAGGAGGGCCGAGCGGGGGACACCAGTGCTCACGGTTCTGTCCCAGGCCTGGTCAGAGCGACTGCCCAGCAGGCCACCCAGCACTGCTGAGGCCCTGGGCTAAGTTACCAGCAGACGTCAGGACCAGGGGACATACACGAGCCCAGGAAGCCCTGGCCACAGGAGGGGGTAGTGGCACCCGATCGAGTGAGTTAGACCACCTCTGGTGACAGGGACAGGGCCTCGGCCACAGAGGGCTGACCCACTGCCAGCTGCACTCTGCCCGCCCAGGAGGCTGTGCTGTCTCTGGGCAGCCTCTTGCTGACATCCTGGCAGCCACTGGCCACACTGTCGTCGCTCATGCAGATGATTAGACGTCACCTCCTGCTTTCTGCCGTGACATTCAAGCCTGGCTGCACCTGTCACTGGCCAGCCATCCCCACATCCCAGACCCCAAAGGGTGGTGTTAAACAGCTGCTGGCCTTGCGCCCATCTGTGTCACCTTGAGGGTTGGGTGGACAGGCTCCTGAGGCCCCCTGCCCGTGAGGGACCCTCTCATGCCAGCTCTATAGCGTCAATGCATACAAAAGGGGAAGCCATGCAGGGTAGGATTCTGTCTGCTTGAACACCTGGGATTTATAAAATACCATGTCCGGGGAAGGCCCACAGAACAAAGGGCCGTGGTGAGTGGAAGGTTGGGAAGCGGGGACTGAGATTCCCGCCGCACTCTCTTGTCCCCGCAGGTTCTGGCGGCAGATGGGAGGCCACCTGCGGGTGGTGGAGGCCAACAGCCAGGGTGTGGTGTGGGGCCTCGGCTACGACCACACGGCCTGGGTGTACACGGGCGGCTACGGTGGAGGCTGCTTCCAAGGTGAGGGTGTTCCCTGCCCGGATCCCCACCTGGCTCCCCTGCCCAGTGCCAGGCTGCTGTCCCAGTGTTCACACTCGGCTAGCAGCTGGCTGACAGGTGACCTTCACCACTGCCAGCCTCCACACAGGCTGGGCCAACCTGGGCCAACCCATGGGGCTCAGGAGCCCAAGACCAGGCCTTGCCTCCCACACGCCCCTGGTGACACACCTGCTGAGCCAAAGGCCTTGAGGATTCTAGAAAGGCAGCTGCCACCCGTCCAGCCCTTTGTTTGTGAAGCTTTGGGGCGTTGGGCAGCCCGAGTCCCCAGTCCCCTGATTCCAAGTCCACAGCTTTGGCCTCTGGTTAGGTGGGTTGTTCCTTCAGGGCCAGAGCTTGCTGAACCCCTGTGGGTCCCCCAGCTTCTGCGAGGTGGAATCCTTGTGTCTCCTGCTGGAAAATGGAAGCAGAAACACTGAAAAAGGACATTTTAAGCCACAGCCCACATGTCCCACAGTGGGGAGCAGCTAACCCTGTAGAACTGTGGTCCACTAAGACCACAGGAACATGCATCTGAGCAAACTTACCAACTTTCCTATTTGTGAGGCAAGAATTTCATCTTCATTGTACAAGTGAGGAAATTGGGGCTCACAGAGGTAAAGTTAACAGTCCAAGGTACCTTTGCTAGTAAGGAGTGAGCTGGGTAGGCCTCGCATCTTCCCGGTGAATAAGGAGGATGGCAAGGAAGAAGAGGCGCAGTGGAGAACAGAGTGTGAGGTCGTGGTGCTGGGAGTGGCGGGGATGGGAGGTTTAATGCAGAGCAGGCTCTTCTCATTGAGGTTGCGTAACCCCAGGATAATCAGGGCATGGGGGAGAGAAACCCAAGCCAGGCCGGTCCAAGAGATAAGTGCAGCAGGCCCACTCGCCCCCCTCCACCGGCCTGGCTCCAACCCGCCCTCCCACCTGCTCTCTGCGGAAATCAGCGCTTCAGACAGAAAGCCGGAGTCGGTCCCAGCAGCCTCCTGTCCCCACAGGCCTGGCCAGCAGCACCAGTAACATCTACACCCAGTCAGACGTGAAGAGCGTGTACATCTACGAGAACCAGCGCTGGAACCCTGTCACGGGCTACACCAGCAGGTGAGCGGCGCGGGTGCCTGGCCAGGGTGCTGCCTGGGTCAGGCCCCTGCCTTGACGGAAACCGGACAGCAACATCCACTGTGGCCTGGAGCTGACTGGATCTTACTGCTCTCCAAGGTTTTCTTTCCCCTTGAATCTTTAAGCAGAATGCATGTTTTAAAAACTCACTCATTAAGAGGTATGACATACAAAGTTCACAAAGCAAATATAGGCTGGGCGCGGTGGCTCACGCCTGTAATCCTAGCACTCTGGGAGGCTGAGGCGGGCGGATCGTTCTGAGCTCAGGAGTTCGAGACCAGCCTGAGCAAGAGCGAGACCCCGTCTCTACTAAAAATAGAAAGAAATTAATCGGACAACTAAAAATATATAGAAAAAATTAGCCGGGCGTGGTGGCGCATGCCTGTAGTCCCAGCTACCTGGGAGGCTGAGGCAGAAGGATTGCTTGAGCCCAGGAGTTTGAGGTTGCTGTGAGAGAGGCTGACACTATGGCATTCTAGCCCAGGCAAATGAGTGAGACTCTGTCTCAAAAAAAAAAAAGCAAATATATGTACATGTCTGTATGTATGATGTATCTCTCTCTATATATGTCACTGAGTCATCACAAATCGAGCACCAGTGTCATCAGCACCCAGGTCAAGGACCAGGACATTGCAAACCTCCCTGCCCCCATCCCCTTCCCAGCTGTTCCCCCTCAAAGCCCCTCGTCTCCAAGACCTGCCATCACTTTGCACACTGCTGTGTTTTGCGTGTTTTGGTCGGTGGTGAGCTGGCTCCTGTGCTGCGGTCTGCCTTTTCCCTCTCTTAGCGGTGACTTTTGGTTTTTAAATGTGACTCAGCTGATTAGTCATCTTCTTTGCATAAAGTTTTAGGGCCTTTAAAAATTTCTTTCACAACATCTCGTCAACCGGAGGTATCGGACATATTCTGCTGTCTTCCGGAACAGCAGTCAGCAAACTTTATAAAGATAGAACATGGTTCAGGCTCTGTGGCCCATGCGGCCTCTGTCAACAGCTACCCACCTCTGCAGTTGTCACTTGAAAGCAGCCACAGGCAACGCGTAAGGGAACGTGCATCGATGTGTCCCAGTGAAACTGCTCGGCACTGGAATTTGAGTTGCACGTAATTTTCACATGTCACAGAGCATTGGCCTTCTTCTGGCTATTTTCAACCATTTAAAAATGTACAAACCACCATCAGCTTGTAGGCTGTACAGAAACAGGCAGCTGCTCCCCACCCCCCAGACTATTTGGCAGATAGCATGAGGTCAAGTTGGTTTTTTGCTTGTTTCTTAAATGTCTGGTGACTCACACCATTTATCGAGAAGACTGTCCTCTCCCTCCGGCACTACAAAGTGCCACCTTAGTCTTGAATCAAGTGTCCAGGCAGCAAGAGGCAGCAGCCTGTTCCAGACCTAGTCTCTCCCGCCGAGCAATTGGTGTCCTTGAACTAATCCACACGGTGCAGTCACTGTCTCTCCACGGGAAGGTGTCAAAGCTGGTAGAACAAATTCTCTTCCATGGCGTTTTGGCTCTTGGAGCATTTCTAGATGAGTTTTAGAAGCAGGTTGTCACTGTTCTCAAAAACTGTTGGGATCTTGGTTGGGAAGATCTTGTATCTGTAGGTCCCTTGGGAAGAACAGTTTTCTTCCACGAGTAAGTCTCTAACTCCATGGACAGACTTTATACCTCCATTTACGTAATTTCTTCTCAATGAGGTTTTGTAATTTTCTATGTGAATGTCCCGACATCTTTTATTAGATGATATTTCATATTTTTTGGTACCATTATAAATGGCACAGACTTTTTTGTTTCCTATTTTAACTGTTCGAGGCTGTATAAAGACATACAATTGATTTCTTTCCTGATTTTCAAGATTGGCAAAATAAATACCAAATGATATGAAGAATAAACTCCGTGACAACCCTAATCTCACCAGCCAGAGATAGTAACCACTGTTAGCACGTGGCACGTTGTCCCCCAGCCACCCCCTGTGCTCACCTGTGTCTGCGTGGGGGCGACAAGGCCAGGCCCGCGATGGTGGCTGCAACGGCCTCACCACCCCATACCCGCGGTGGACCCGGCCAATCTAACCTCCACTTAGTCTTGAACGTGCAGATTGTTTGTGACCTTTCACTGCCACACGAACAATGTAAAGGACTCCCTCGCGTGTAAATATTTGTGTCTCTCTGTTTGCCCCATAAATCAAAGGATTTGAACATTTCTAAGGCGGTTGATGCACGTTGCCAAGATCTCCTGAAAACCTGTACCTCAGCCGAGTGTAGCATCCACACAGGATGTTAGTGTGAGATTTTTTGGTTTGGTTTTTTGTTTCTTAAATATCTGGTGACTTAAACCTCGATGTCCTCCTGACGTTCTCCTTGGTCCTCACGAAGAGCGGGGTGGTGCTCCCTTGCCCGTTGGAGAGGGCAGGCTAAGGGCCTCACCGGTCCTCGCCCACAAGTGCCCCACTGCAGGCTTCAGGCACCTCGGCCTCACAGCCGCCTGTCCCCACCGGCACGTGTGCTGCTCACTGCCACGCTGGTGTCCTGTGGCAGCCACAGCAAAGTACCATAGACTGCGTGGCTTGAGCGTGAGACATGTATTGTCTCTCTGTTCTGGAGGCTGGAAGGCCCAGACCAGGTGTGGACAGGGTTGGTTCCTTGTCAGGGCCGTGAGGGAGAACCTGCCATAGGGCTCTGTCCTGGGCTCTGTGTCCTCACCGTGGCCTCCCTCTGTGTGTGCCTGGATCCAAATTTCCTCCTCTTATGAGGACCCCAATCATCTTGGATTAGGGCCCACCCCAAGGACCTCATCTTAACTTGGTCATCTGCAAAATCCCTATTTCCAAATAAGGCTGTGTTCCCAGATGTTGAATGTAGGGTTAGGACTTCGACATATTTTGGGGTCATAGTTCAACCTGTAGCAAAAGGGAAAAAGAGGTGGCTTCCACACTGCACAGAGCACCCAGGTGATGTGGGTCACCCCAGTTGGTCTCCTGCCCAGGGCAATTCTGGTTTTGCCTGTCACCCCCCGGGAGTGAAGGGGACGGCTTGCTCTGGGGCTGGAGCTCCGGAACTTCCCTTCAGGCCCCCACTGGGCGTTACAGGTCCCTGGGCTGGGCAGGCCTGCTCTCGGTTCTCCCTCATCAGCCCGCCCCTGTTGTCCTGCCCCAGGGGTCTACCCACGGACCGGTACATGTGGAGTGACGCCACGGGGCTGCAGGAGTGCACCAAGGCCAGCACGAAGCCCCCATCTCTGCAGTGGACCTGGGTGAGCCCCCTGTTCCCCCCTGGTGGGGGGTGTCCACCTGAACTGACTGGTCTGTGGATTTGGGGGTCCCGTCCTCACTGACTCACTTCTCCCCAGGTTTCTGACTGGTCTGTGGATTTCAGCGTGCCTGGGGGCACTGACCAGGAGGGGTGGCAGTATGCCAGCGACTTCCCCGCGTAAGCACCCCCCTGCACCATGCTGCCCCCAGCCCTGGCTAGCCCTGGCCCCACGCCAGGGGCAGGTGGGTGAGGAGCGGCAGCCCTGGGGCCTGGCGGCAGGTTCAGGGCATGGACAGGCCCTTCGGGGCACAGGAGTCACTTCCAGCCAGAAGACGATGGAGCCAGAAGGGCCTAGGGAGGAGGAAGCAGCCCCCAGATTGTGGCTCACCCAGGGCCGGCCCTTCGCTGCAGCCAGGGCTCCCAGACTGACCCTGCCCCCAGCCTCGGCCCCTCTGCTATCCCTGGGGGCAAGGATTATGCACCACGACACCTACTTCTCTGAGCCCGTCAGTGGCTTACACTGAGGCTGTGTGCCCTGTAACGGGTAACAAAAGAATGGTTGCGGGGTCACTTTCCAGAAACTTCCACAAAGCGGCCTTGATCTCATCTTCTTTCTCTTGCAGTTCTTACCATGGGTACAAAACCATGAAGGATTTTGTCAGGAGAAGGTGCTGGGCCAGGTGAGGTGGGGCCACAGTGATGGTCACTCTTGCTCGCTCTCTCCCCTGCCGGGTCCCTGGCCTCTGACCTCGGTCCCAGGAAGCAACGGGAGAGGGACTGGGAGAGGGATCGGGAAGCCAGGAAGCCGAGTCTAAGTAAATGTCAGCCCAGGAAACGCCCGCGGGCTCCCAGCACTCTCTGGTTTCAGAAGTTTGTTTTTGAGAACAAATAAGAGAAATGTCACTGGCAGACTTGGCCAGTTGTAAGGACAGAGGACAGGCCTGGCTGGGGGTGGGGGTGGGGAGGGAGCCACCTCTGGGTGCTCATCCTGGCTCCTCTCGGGGTCCTGGCCCCCAGTTCTCGCCTCCCCGTCCCTCATGCCCAGGGCTCCAGTGCGGTGACGTCAGAGTCCCCTCTGTGCTCTCTCTCCACTGTATAGAAAATGCAAGCTGGTAACCAGTGGGCCCTGGCTGGAGGTGGCCCCCATCGCCCTCAGGGACGTGTCCATCATCCCGGAGAGCCCAGGCACCGACAGGAATGGGCCCAGCATCGCGCTCTGGGCCGTCAGCGACAAGGGGGACGTGCTGTGCCGCCTGGGCGTGTCCGCACTCAACCCTGCGGTGAGCACCTTGCCTGGTGCTTCTTGAAACCAGGACTCCAGCTCTGGAGTCAGGCTGAGCTCGACTTCCCTGGGCCTCCCGAGGGGGCCACTGGGCCCCGTGGGCAGCTGGTGCTGAGGATAGGTTGGTGCAAGGAGCCCACCCCCTCTCGGGGCCTGGGGAAGGGTGACAGGCAGGCCCGGGAACACTGCCGTGGTCAGGTGCACGCGCTGCTGCTTTCCCTGCGTGTGAGGTGAGAAGGTGAATGGAGGGTTCAGCAAGTGCCACGGTCAGGCCACCGCCAGGGCCAAGTCAGGCAGGGCTGGGTCTGTGTGACCCTGGCTGCCCCTCTGCCCACCTGCTGGGCCTGTGTCACCCAGACCTTGGGGGGTTGGTTGGGCCTGGCGACCTTGGTGGCCGCCTCAGCGCCCCCTCGCCCATCCCCAGGGCTCCTCCTGGCTGCACGTGGGCACCGACCAGCCCTTCACCTCCGTCTCCATCGGGGCCTGCTACCAGGTGTGGGCCGTGGCTAGGGACGGCTCCGCCTTCTACCGGGGCTCTGTGTCCCCCTCCCGGCCTGCCGGTGAGTGCCACCCCCCAGGAGGCTGTGATAAGCGAGTGACATGTCTGAGTTGGGGGCACTGGCTGGTTGGTCTTGTCATTTGCAGTTCAGCTTGACAAGCGTTTGTTGAACGTCACCTTTGGACCAGGCGTGGGGGCTGAGCCAGGGTCCCCCCAGAGGCTGCGTCCTTGTCCCACTGGGACCACCTAGTGATGGGGCAGCCCTGGCCAGGCCTGCCAACCCTTCTAGGGGTCACTTTGTACCTCCACCCTTCATGGCCCACTCTGGGGACTGTCCGGGAGGGCTGGCTGTGCTGGCATGTTCTTTACTGGACGTTCGGACAGGGCCCAGCGTGGGTTGGCAGGGCAGCCCCCCCGGGCCGGCTCTCCACTGAGTGCCAGGCTGGGCACCCTCGTGTCCATGCTGGTGAGATGAGTCTGAACCTGCGATGGCCTCCAGAGGGCCCAGGGCAAGGCTGGGGTGCTGGATGGACGGCAGGGCACAGGTCAGGTGTGCTCGAGACCACACAGGTCAGGTGTGCCTGGCCCACTGCGAGCTGTGTCTGGGCCTGAGGGTGCGGCCTGAGTCAGCTCTCCCATCGCAGGCGACTGCTGGTACCACATCCCGTCTCCTCCTAAACAGAGACTAAAGCAGGTGTCTGTGGGGCAGACGTCGGTGTACGCCCTGGATGAAAATGGCAAGTTGTTCTGATGTTCCTCCATGGTGCTTTGGGAGCTGCGGGGTCCCTGAGCACCTGATGGGACAAGGCCCCCCGCACTGGACAGGCTGCAGGAGGCTGGGGGGGGGGGGTCCTCCCTTTTTCCAGAAGTGTCCAGGCCTTTCTGGGCAATGTTTTCCCAGGGACAGTGGAGCACCAGGTGCCAGGGCTGAGCAGGTGTGACCTGCCCGTCTCAGTGACCATAAGATGACTACAGCCCAGGCCCGGCCCTCCAGAGGAAACCGGGGGTTGGGCCCAGGACGGAGCAGCACCGCCCCAGGCCCCTGACACAAGACCTGTAACCACCGTGAGAGGCACTTAGCCTCTTCCCCAAGTTTCACGGGCTGGGGGCACCCGCCAACGGCACAGCATCAAGGCCAGGGTGACGCTGCTTGGCAGGGCCTGCACGAGGAGCATCTTCTAGAAGGTTCCCCCCAGGCCTGTGACAGGAGGCCATCCCTGACCCTGTGTCCCCTCAGGCAGGGCTCCCTGCCGTATTTGAGTTGTTGCAGATAAGGAGAAGGCTGGGAGAGGTAGAATCAAGACTGAAATCCAGGCTGGGCAAGGTGGCTCATGCCTGTGATGCCAGCACTTTGTTGGGTGGGAGGATCGCTGGAGGCCGGGAGTTCGAGGCTACAGTGAGCTGTGATTTTGCCACTGCACTGCAGCCTGGGCAACAGAACAAGACTCTGTCTTAAAAAAAGACTGAAATCCAGGGTGTTTGCTTAAGATATCTGGTTCTCTTTTTATTTGTTTAAAAATTCTTTGTCCTCAGTTCCTACCGCAGTAGAAAGAGGTTCACGACGCCAGCCCCGCTAGGCACAATAGGACGATTATGAGGCTTGGGGAAGCCCAGAGCGTGTGGAGGGCCGTGCTGGCCCAGGCGAGAGGACAGCAGGGGCTGAGGCCTTGACGGGGTGGCCGGGCCCCCAGCCTCCCCAACCACCCCGCAGGAGGCCGGAGGCTGGGCCTGCAGGCTGGATGGCCAGGCGGCCTTTGCCTCTGACCCCGCTTCTCTCCGCAGGGAACCTGTGGTGTCGCCAGGGGATCACGCCCAGCTACCCGCAGGGCTCCAGCTGGGAGCACGTGTCCAACAACGTGTGCAGCGTGTCTGTGGGGCCCCTGGACCAGGTCGGGGGGTCAGAGGGTGTCGGGTATTGGGGTGCTCAGGTCCCCAGCGATCCCACTGCAGTGGGGGCCGGGCCTCAGCGGGTCTGTGTTCCAGGTCTGGGTGATTGCTGACAAAGTCCAGGGCAGCCGCAGTCTGAGCCGGGGGACAGTGTGTCATCGCACAGGCGTGCAGCCCCACGAGCCCAGTGGGCAGGGCTGGGACTACGGCATCGGGGTGAGTGGGGGCAGCTGGCCCAGCCAGGGCTGTGTCACACTGCCCGCAATGGGACTCAAGGGCAGTTGGGGTGGAAGGAAGGTCCCCAGGCAGAGCCCCTGAGAGCCCTCGCACCCCCTGTAACACAGCTCTCTCCTTCCAGGGGGGCTGGGACCACATCTCTGTCCGGGCCAATGCCACCAGGGCCCCCAGGAGCTCATCCCGGGAGCAGGAGCCGAGCGCCCTACAGGAGGCCCCAGGCCCCACGTGCTGCTGAGGCCGCAGCACTGCTGGATGCGGATGGTGCGGATGGTGCCAGGTTGGAGGATCAAGGCTGAGCCATTCTTGTGCTGCAGTATGCGCCGTGGGGGGCCACTCAGGAGGGAACCTGGCCCAAGGCTGTGGCCACTTCAGAGGCACTGGCTGAAATAGCCCAGAAATGTGAAGCTCCGTGGATGCCCCACACGAGTCCCCACCTGTAAGAAGCACCATGGGTGGGGGTGGGGCTGTACCTCCCAGAGGCCCCGCCCTCCTGCCCCTCAGCCTCCCACCTCCATGAGAGCCCAGGAAGGAGCCCCCAGGAGCTGGCCTCTCAGGCAGCAACCCGGGCCTGCCACCCTCGCCCCCCAACCCAAGAGACACTGGCCTGGGGCTCAGGGCCACTTTGTCATGAGCTGTGACTGTTTCTCAGAGCAGGACTTGCAAAAAGGGTTTAATTTCACAGCTAAGGCTCGAGTGGGTGGGCTGTCTTCTTCCCTGGGTGGGCCGGGGCTGTGGACCAGGAGGCTGGAAGAGGACAGAGGCTGCCCAGGGCTAGGAGATGGCGTCTGTGTGCTGGGTCACCGTCTCCATCAGCTCCTAGACAGCCCCTTCCCCAGGCATGTGGCGGGGTGCAGGGACTCCTCGGGTGTCGGATCATGTTGAGGGGCAGCAGGTGTCCTGGGGAGCAGGACTGTGCCTGGTCCGGTGGTGGGGTGTGGACACAGACCCCCAGCCTGTCCTGTGCACCCCGGGGGGAGAGCCCTGCCCAGCCAGGCGAGGAAGAAGGCCCTGGCTGAGTGGCCCTGGCTCCCATCCAGCAACTTCTTTGCTGCTTTTTATCCCATTGTGCCCCGTTTGGGGACTTTGCTTCCTACACTGGACACTTTGCCTAGGAGGTTGTTGGAGCCCAAGTCCTGTCTCTGCTCAGTTTGAGGTGGAGTGAAGGGACTTGTCACCAACTGGCTTTCCTGGGATCCTGCCTATTTCGTCATCAGCAGGGGGTCAGCTGTGTGTTTATATCTGATCCCACTTTGCTGCACGGTGTCTGTCACCCAGAAGCTGACTCTAAGAAAGGTCTCCTCTGGGGTCCCCTCCCACGGTGGGGAGTGTGCTGCTGGGGGCAGGGCCAGGCGTGTCTAGTGCGGGGCTCAGGCCAGTCCTGGGCGATGACCCCGTGCTGCGTGTTTACATTTCAGTGTCGGTTGTCCTGTGGGTGGGCGTTGTGGTTCATCCCCTGCAACGGTGCCCTGTGCATCCTGCTGTAACTCGCCGTCTGCAGGTGGCTCTCAGCACAGGGTGTCACTCTGCCTTTCTCCAGGGTGACATGTTCTCTCACTGCTGAGCACCAACTGTTTACCTGCTCAGCATCCTTCGGATGCTTTATTCAATAAAAATTTGCGCCAGAGTGTAAAAGGCATGATGTTTTTATTGCTACGTTGTGATTAAAACGCACAGTCCCCGTGTACTTGTGCATGGGTGAAAGCAGCAACTGCTGTGAAATCTTTTATTTTTGTTTTATGACACAGCATTGATTTCATTAGTACTTTGAAGGGACCATTAGAAAAAATAAAAGCAAATTTGTGTCACTTAAGAACCATTTTCACCACAATTACAGCAGGAGCACGGACCGTTCAGTTCCAGTCGGGTTTTCCCAGACAGAAAAGTGGCAGTTCTGGTTTCCCTGCTTGTGCTGGTGAGGACCTCACCTCCGGAGCTGGCTTGGGGCGCTGGTGCCAGGCTGGGTGGGTAGGTGGCTGGGTTGATGGCCTGGGGGAGCGGCCTAGGCAGCCAGGGCTCAGCAGCATGTGGGTTCCTGACCTGCTTGTATGACGACCTTGGGAAACTCAGACCTCATGGCCCAGGCAGAGCCTCCCTGCAGGACAGGAGAGTCCAGCCTGAGCTTTGGGTCCGAGACAAGGGCCAGGGAGCAGCCCGGCAGCAGGCCTGTCACAGACCTCCCTCAACACTTGACACCCCGAAGTAAGACTGGGACATCGGAACATCCTTCCTGATGTGGCCACGGGGCAGCAGATCCCCTCCGGCCACGGGTGAAGGACTGGGCGGCTGGCCACAGGTCACTGGGAAGCAGAGGGCGCAGGTGCCAGTTTGGGACAGAAATCCCTGGGCAGCCCTGGGCTGTGGCGTGTCACCAGGCATGGTCTCCTGGACAGAGTCTCCACTGGGCACCCTGCCCTGTGCTTTCAGGCTCAGCCTGTCTGTTCATTGAGCAAGGACGGAGCCCTGCTGTGGCCGCAGCTCGGCGGGAAACAAAGGCTGCCAGGTCGGTAGCACCCTGATTGCGCTCACGCTGGAGACCCCACCGTGTCACACCCCCGCCGGGCGGGTGCCCACAGTCAGGGAGGCCTGGGCTCCCTCTCTCTCTCCCCAGCTCAGACCTATGCTCAGCCCCAGATGAGGCCCATGGGGGCAGCAGGACCGGCAGGAGAACAAATCTCACTGAGGCAAGCCCCACGTGCTGGGGCCGTCTTCCAGAGGGCCTGACCAAAAGTCCCTCAGGTGCCACCTGCTGCCCTTGATATGGTGGCCAGGGCTGACCCCAAGCCTGCTGGTGCATTTAGCATCTGGTGCCAGGACCCCCAAGGGGAGGGCAAGGCCGAATGGTGGGGACTGGTCAGCTAGAGCCCTGGGCCCAGCTTGGCTCCCAACCACAGCACCTGGGGAGGGGCCTGGCCCCCAGGGGCCTCTGGGACAGCTCCGGGCCAAGGGATGAGGGAGGAGTTGAGAGCAAAGTGGCCAGGTCCGGCGGAGCCAGTGGGGCAGGAACGCCGGAGAGAAGGAAGCTGGGCCTGAGGCGGTGGGGATGTGCCAAGCTGCCTGGGCCCTGCCACCCGAGTGGGGGGAGGGAAGTGCTGCCACCCCCAGGCTCCACTCGCAGAAAGCCCCAAAGGGCCCCCCAACTCAAACCAGGACCCAAGACATCCTAGAGTCCTAAGACTGCCCTCGCCAATTACGGGGCAACTCCACAGCAGTAATGAATGTGACACTATGTGGGAGGCCCAGGACAAACCCCTCTCCCTGCACAGGCCAGGGCTGGGCGGGAGGATCCAGGGCCTTGAAGCTTCTCTCCTGGTGAGCCCAGAGGGCAGTGCCGGGGACACCCGGCTACCTCCGACTCCAGCTCCTCGGCACCCCCAGGGGTCAGGCCCAGACCCTCCGCAGCTGGGGGTGCTGCCCTCACAGAAGCGCCCACTCAGAAGGAGGGAGAGACTCAAGCCCCTCATCCAAGGTCCCCTTAGAGTGAATTCAAGGTCACTTGATGAGGGCAGCTGAGCTGGACGCTTCAACCATCTTGGGCACCCTCCACAGAGGCCTCAGGCTTTGCCCGGCTTGTTCTGGGCCTCAGTTTACCCTGAATGAGGACGCTGGGCCCAGGCCTCAGCCAGTCCCACACTGCTGCTGGAGGAGGGTCCTTCCCGGGCCTTGGCCAAAGTGTGGCTGGGACACTTGTAAGTAAACCTTTTCCTGGCATCTCCCTTGCCTGGGAGGGAGTCGGGGTGAAGAGAATTTAGCTGCAAAGGCTGAGGCCTTTCAACTTCCGGTTAGTGGGAAAGCAGGACCCTGGCCCTGCACAGAAGTTTGGGCCTCAGTCCACGCCAAGCCATGGCCTCCCTGGGCCACTTGCTTGTCCCCACAGGTGCAGGAGAAACTGCTGGGGGGGGGGTTGCAGCTGAGAGCCCAGGGAAAATGGAGTCACTGGGGCCGTGTCCTCATGGGATGTCACCATCCATCTGGGGCCCAGCATGGGGACCAGGGCTGGGATGAGCAGGCCGGCCACCACTGCCACCCGCCCAGGGCCGGGCCTAGGTGCCCTCTCGGAAGCTGTGGATCTGCGTGGAGTATCGCTGCAGGTGGCCCTGCGGCTGGGCCTCGGGGGCGCCCAGCGTGCCCCCCGCCTGCTGCTGCTGCTGGTAGTGCTGGTAGAGCTTGGGGCCCGGCCCCTCCATGCCCGGCAGGCGGCTGCTGGACATGGTCAGGATGGTGGCTGTCAGCGACTTGATGTAGTTCTTAGCCAGCGTGAGCGTCTCTATCTTGGAGAGCTTCTTGTCGGCGCGCACGTGCGGGATGACCTCGCGCAGCGCCTGGAAGGCGTTGTTGAGCTTGTGCATGCGCTGCCGCTCGCGCTCGTTGCTCTCCAGCCGCCGCTGAGCGCTACTGTCCCGCCGGCCGCCCGGCCCCGGCCCCGGCCGCCTGCGCCCTCCTTCGGCCCGCGCCCCCGCTGCCCGCGCCGCCCGGCTCCGCACGCCCTTGGCCGGATCGGGGCCCGCGCCCGGCGGGGACCTGTCAGGGGTGCGCTCCCCGGGGGCGGCCTCCGCGTCCGCGTCCTGTGGCGGGGCCCGGCGCCGAGGGGGCCGGCTCTTGGTCTTCATGGCTCTGGACTGGTTGTCCCGCGAGGGCAAGGCTGGGAGGGGGCCCTCGAACTGAAATCCAAGCACAGGACACGGTGGTCACTGGCACAGCCAGGGGACACGCAGGGTGGCCCTCCGCAGCAGCCTCCTCGCTGAGGGCAATGGCACCAGGAGCCAGTGGCAGCGACCACTGGCTGCTCGGGGACCCCAGAGTCCTTCCGTTCCCACAGCCCCGAGCTGACCCCACACTGACCCCTCAGACCGGTCCCTGTTCTTGCGCCGCCTTCCCCCTGGGTGACTCTGGCCCACGCCCCTCTCTGTCCCCTGAGTGCCTCCTGAGCTCAGGTGACCTTTGACAATTTGCTCAGACCAACCATGGGACATCGGAACATCCTTCCTGATGTGGCCACGGGGCAGCAGATCCCCTCCGGCCACGGGTGAAGGACTGGGCGGCTGGCCACAGGTCACTGG